CTATGTGAGCAGTTTAAAAATAATCGCCTTGGTGAATGTACACCCTATGAGAAGAAAATATTTTATTTACGTTTCTAAACTCTACATTTAATCGTATTCTCGGGGATCTACTCTCTACACAACAAAAACACGTTACATATTGACTCACCTCCCCAAACTTAACCCCTGAGCGGCCATCTTAAAAATATTGAACTGCCTCTTTCAACAAATTTTTTGAATACAGGTTGATTTTAACAAAACTAATATTGATAAAACCAATTTATATTTTAAAAACTAGTATTTTATTACTTGTAATTCAATTTTATTAATGTGACGTTGATTTTTGCGTAATTTTATTATACAAAAAAGATGTATGTAGTTATTTTGGTTGCACGAGGTTAGCTTACAAAGTCAAACCAACACATGCGCAGTCGCTCTAGCAATCACCTGACTGTCGCATGAGTGTGTCTGCTAGCTGCTCGGTACTTGTTGTTAGTGTTCCGACAGAAATGTCATAGGCACAACGAAAATGGTACATTGGCGTTGGGAATTTTGAAGAAAAGAACTATATGGTACTGAAATGATTTTTCAATTGTTAGTTCTTCTCCAGCTGTGCTTGGTTACGTTTCAAAATGATGTAAACGTGACTGTAAATCCATCAGACGTAACCCTTCAACTTGGCGATTCAGATGTTGTTAACATCACATCTGTAATTGTATTGAAACATCCAGCAGATGTTTACCCGACAAGTAACCTACCATGGGTTGCTAATGTTACGGAGTATGTAAGTATAAACAAGCTGAACATTTCTCATATTATAGAATATCTTTATTTCTCAATATTGTAGAAAAATACAATTTGTTAACTCAATGGTGACCTCGATATGACCCGGCGGTACCAGTGAAACCAGTGATGATCCGGTGCTGCCATTAAAATTAGTGGTGACCTGGTGGTACTATTAAATAATACTTTTAATAACGTGTGTGTAGCTGGGGATTGTAATAGTACAGTACTTCTATGTTGGACAACAATGAGTTGGCAAAAAAAAAGAAACTGCACAATCATCCTACACCAGACTCGCTCTTTGTATGTTAAAAACAAAGTCACAATAAATAGCTACCGGGATAATAGGTGATTTATTCACAGTTATTTTATTTTCAGAAATGAAGATTCTCTTGCTTTTCTTGATAATCCTTAAATAATTGTTTGTAGATGAATTTTGTAAAAAATTTTTAGAAGTTCTGTGGCAGATAAGTCCATGTTTTGTCTCATGTCTATTCCACATGCATGATTCACTTGAATAACTATTTATTGAAGTGTATTCTTTGGTTCACATCCCTATGGTAATGTTACAATGTACTGACGATGACATGTACAGTAAATTTCAAAATGAATATGACAATTCAAACTAGACATCCTCATTTTTTGTTTGCCTCGCTATGTGTTGGTTATTAACATTCTTGTCATATTGTTAAATTTGAGCTGTTTCAAGTGATACCAAATATGGCTTAATAAGTTGTGCGTATACATTTGCATTCTAATATATTTTGGCTAAAAAAATAATCGCATATTGTATGATGTAAACAAACTAGTTTCTGGTCATGACAGGTCGTTACCACATTGATCAGGGTCAACCTCTGGTCAAATTATGATTCTAGAAAGTTAATATGTATCGCTGCAAACCTTCATGGAATCCACTACTCCTTTGATGTAATTGAAAGTATCGTTCACAATATTTAATCATTGAGTTGAAGATACTAGACTGGTGTCCAATGTAAATCAATACCTCGCTCCTTCCTAATATAGGCAAAACAAAATTATTAAAATAACATTTCAGAGGACCTAAAATGGGAGTATTTGTAATAAGTCCTAGATGGAATATGCCAGCAATGAATGAAGAAAGCTAGCTCTCTATGAAATGTATGCAGGGATCGAAATACCCTGGTACACACTGCACTATGCACATAGATTATTAGCTCGTGCAAGTAAACTCAAAATATAATGTGCACGCTGTGCATGTAGAAATTAACACACCATTTTGTCATTATATTCACTAAGCCTAAATTAAGTTCAACCAACATTGTGAGACAACTAAAAAAAATCTAATTCTTTCATGATTGCATCAATCGAGAACCCGTAAATTTTATTTAAACTTTAAAAATGGTGCATTTCACAACAAGTTAGTGCAGGTAAATTTCAAATTCAACATGCACACTATGCATGCAGGGAAAAAATTATATTTCAATCCCTGTGTATGACTAGTTGTAGATAAACTCAGAGTGGTACCAGGTTTACCAATGCTGATGCTTGTAAGCTTAGTCATGTTAGTGTCATTTAGACAGTTAGCATGGTATTGAGCAGTAGAAGATCACTAAGCTGCTGATTTAAAACTCTGAATGTTGCATGGCTGAAACATCTTGCGATTT